TGGTTTGTGACCAGTGGTAGGGGTCCTCCATGTGACACTCTGTAAAGCCATGACACACAAACATGATGGTGACACATGTACCTTCTCACATGCCCACACACAAACCCACACAGGAACCTACGCCTCCCCATGGGCTCAAGAGAGCGCCCACTCACTTGCCTGTCTGCCCATTTGATTGTCAACACATGACGGTGCCAGATCTCGATGAATCAGAGTCCTGCACGACTGTGAACAAGCATCGTGTTCGTGAACACAGATAAGGCACTCGGTGTCTCATGTCTGTAGGAGGGTGACTGACTGCTGGTGGAGGTCATCAGCCCAGTGAGGGACTGAACACAAACACCCACATGTGGAGTACACGTCACATCTGTTTACCTCTACGATCATTGCTAAGCTATAAGACCTCTAGGCTGTCTTGGTCAAGATTTGTAGCATCCACCTTTGCTGTTTCTTCAAGGTAATCCCCTAAGCTCCTGTACCACAAGCTCTCTGTGCAGCTCTTTATCCAACAACACTCCTCAAGAATAAAAAAGCCTTCCTTTCTCTGACCCCAATCTATTAAGCCTCGCTAACTGCGAAGGTGAAGGTGGCACATCTTGGCGGTACGGACCCTTGGGGGATGCCGGGTCCTTCAGGTGCCCTGTGGAGTACCCCTCATAGCTGCTGTTCCCGGCGCTCTCCTGCATTAACTTCTCTTTGGCTTCCTGTTCTCTACGCCTCTGCTCCTGCCTCAAGAGCTCCTGGGCTTCCAGAAGGACTCTGGCGTTGACAACGCCGCTACCTGGGTAGCCGTTTCTGGAACCTTGGTAGCTGGAGTACCTGGGGTTGTCCTTGGCTGTCTGGAAGCCCTCGCCAGGTGGGTACGCCTTATCCCAGGTGTCCTGAGAGATGGAGCTGGGGTTCTTTCTGGGTTGCCTGGTACAGAAAGGGAAAAAGAGAGGGAAATGTGAGATGTGGTTTGATTATTTTGGGTTTCTGATACAAAAGGTATCAGTCAGACAATACAGGTTAAATCTCTCACACAAATGTACCAACAAATGATCTCATTCTCTCCCAACCACAGACACATTATTTCTCTGCAGTAAACCACCACGTACTGTGACCTGGTCGAGTGGGGAAAATAGTGCCAGCAAAATAAAACAAAACAAAAAAAGCTTCTCCTCTTTTGGAGATAAACTTATGTTTGGATTTTTCACAGAAAATGTATTATACTGTTAGTCACGTGGTAACCAAGGCATCACATCCAGTGAAAATTAGGCACCGTTGTAGCCTCAGAAAGTACCTCTGGGCATGTAGCAGCCCACAGTAATAACATACAGAGATACTAACCATGTCAAAGTCCCCTTCCAGCCCATTAGGCCCATTTGAGACAGGCAGAAACAGCCATTAGGTCAGACAAGACAGTAATAGCAGACCTTTTGCAGTTGGAAAAATGAGGCGACCATCTTGTCCTCAGTGGACTCGCCCAGGCTGATATTTGACACCTGACACGAGTGTCTTAAAGGCACGGTTGGCTGTCACGCTTCTGGGAGGCTGCGCTGTCCTTTACCAGAAGGATGAGAAGAAAAAAATCCAGATGTGTGACATCACCTCTCATTTCTGCTTGGTTAGCCTCTTTGTGCTCTGTGTGTGCAGGTCCACATGACATGCATGAGTGTCCGGAGCCCTACAGCTCCCCCCGCCTGTCTCAAGGGCACGGCAAGAGGAGTGCAGAGACAGACAAGACACACAAAAACATCAATGGGTTTTTGACTCCGAGCCATGCATAATTATCAGGTTTGTCAGCCAGCTGTGAAGAAATCGTATTATCCCTGTGTTTAGGTTTGAATAGGACGGGGAGAAGAAATCCTTAATGAGAATAGAAAAGACCTCTGGTTGTATTCAACAGAGACTGAATGCAATTGGGAATGGATATGCTTCTCGATTGGCGAGATAGGAGAATATAGCAGAGGTTTATTCTTGTGCACGGTTGAGTGATTCCAATTTTCAGAGACCGGCATCCCTGGCATCTGATTTCATTTCATATGTTGACAAAGAGGCCAAAGCCGGTCTGCCTCCCTGCTGAGAAATGCAAACCAGATCGCTCTCTCCGTCTGATGCCATGCCAAGTGGGAGCATGTACATGTGTGGTAACTACAGAAAGATGCATACTGCTCTGTATTCTGTGCATGCAAACAGTGGAGCATGACAGACGATTAAAAAAGAAAAGGGGGAAAGGTGTCAGAAAGAGATTGAGAGAAAAAAGGGAGGCTGTGAAAGGTTATAGTGCAGGGGAGATACATACACATGTGGTTGTTCCACACATGTATGCAGATACACACTAGGGAGACCAAATGTCACTGCAGCTGTTGCAGCCAGCCTTTGTCTTCTGTAATGGCATTACATTGGCTTGGAGATCAATGGCGCTAGTCGGTGATGAATACAAGGGCCCTTCATCCGCCGTCATTGTTTCAAATGGCAGTGGTTTATTTTCACTCACAGCTCCTTGTTTAGGGAAGGGTCTCACCCAGAAGAGAGCTGACCTTTATCTAATATGAACGCTGTTTTTTTAAGGAATACCACCACCATTAATCACATGTCGATTCACCATTCAGGATCACGCTCCCGTGAACAACACAGACCCATATGAATCCCTAAACGCCACATCTACTCAGCCTCTGACTTCACACGATAGGATGCTCTTAGTCAAACAATAGTTCGTGTTCTCGAGATAATACAGCCTGGTTTATCCAAACAGAACAGTTTCTTAATGGAACTGGTGGAAAAGTGGCCACAGGATGTTGCCTCTGACTGCTGGAGCACGACAATGCTTCATTAATCTTTTAGCACAGCTGCCTGCAATATTTATCATGGAAGGGATTTATGTCGATAACAGCGGATTAGAGTATGATGGCAAAGTAATACAAGATAATGTATTTAATGTTGTACATGTGAGTGCTAGCTGACGATGTGCACCGGGACGGGCTGCTTGGCTTGGCCTCGTAGAGAGTTTGAACGACTGCTTAGGGAAACTTTGAATAACATTTCCTCTTGAGGCAGTTCACTCCACAGCAGTGTTGGCTTGTATACTTTCCATTTTTACTGACTGTTCTAAATGGAGCTTTACAGTTTTAGGTGACTGAATTTTACACCATTCCAAGCAAAAACGGGTTTGCATTCATTTCTGTGGATTAGCAAGCTCTTGAAACATAACTGATTCATGCATCCACTACAGTGACATCAAGTCTATCATCTGTCATTATTACTTACTGCATGATCATCAAGTCTGCTGCACTGATTATAAATGCTCCACTATGCTACTTCACTATGGTAATGTACTGTTGGCATTTATTACTGTAGAGCTGATGTTTACACTGATGTGTCTGCTAATATGTTTTCAGACAACGTAGGAAGGTAATGGAAACTGATGACTGGATGAAACTCAATACAATTTTAAAACAGCACAACGGTTCGTTTATCGGTGATGTAAATGAAAACCTGCAACACACTGATTAGAGATGTAGAGTCCATTACTCTGAGTCCTTCTGTTGGAAAGTAACTAAGTACATGTACTCAAGTACTGTACTTCAGTACAATTTTGAGGTCTTTGTACTTTAGTTGAGTAGTTTCATGTTGTGACGTCTTCATACTACATACTTCATACCACTCCACTTATTGTATAACTTCAGTTACTAGATACTTTTTAGAATCAGATTAATACAAAATTACAGTATAGTCATAAGACTTTGATTTCCAGCAGAAAATTCACAAGCTACCCAGCAGTAATTCCAGTTACAGACATATAAGGTAGTTAAAACTAGCTCCACCTTTACCAGATGCAGTGTTAAATGTGATGTACACAACAATTCATCAGTAATTATAATCGAATAATATGATATATGTTAATGCTAAATGCACCATTCTGCATGAGTGCTTTTAGTACTTTAAATATTTTTTGATGCTAATATTTTTGTACTTTTACTTTAGTAACATTTTGAATGCAGGGCTTTTACTTGTAACTGAATATTCTTACACTGTGGTACTGCTACTTCTACTTGCAGTACTTTTTCCACCACTAAGTCACTTCTTGTATCCAGAACCTCTTACCCCATACACACACACACACACACCAGCACTTCCCGTAACAACATGCAGATCAAAGGGAATTACATTAAGGCAGAGGAAAGCAATCATGTCAGATCTGTGTGAGAGGGTAATGTGATCTGTCCATTCTCAGACTGAGTGTGTGTGAGTGAGTGTGTGCAATTTGTGGTCTGAAACTGACCAGTTAATGTACGACCCCCTTTTCTTATTTAGAGGTTATATATATGTGATGCGCTATCATTACTGTCACAAGGCTATTACAATGAATCTGACATAATCAGACAGGCGTGCACACACACAACCACACATCACTTCTTGAGATACATTACAGTGTATTAAATCAACTCACAGATCTAAAATAGATATGAGACAGTCCCAACCTCGTAGACACATTTCATATTAGACAGGTCCACACACAGAAATACACCCCAGAAAGTCCCACACACAGAATCTCTTGGCACATATTGACAGTCAGACAGACAAAAACAAACGTCAAGCACAACATCATGTCAAGCCTAAAACACCAACACACACACACACACACACACACACACACACAGTCCATCACTTTTACCGTGGCAGAGAGCTGTACTGTCGCTGCGCTTGAGCGAACGAGTCTCTCTCCCCCTGTCTCTGTCTCTGCATCTGGACCTCGACCGACACAGAGTGGCGTCCCGGCTGGCTGTACCCGCCTGGACTGTTGCTGCTGGCGCTTGACTGAAAACAGCAAGATGGCACATCAGTCGGCTGTGGTTCCCAGTAGCATAAATCGATAAGAGAACGGCTCTACCCATTCACTTATTTATTCATCTGCCTATTAGAACTTGATAATGATCACTACAAGACTGAGAGGCTGCCAATTGAAATCAGTGGGGACATGCATTGGGTGGACAAATATGATGTGTTTACAGGATTGATTATTATTTTATAGAGCTCAGTTCAGGACGTTTTAAATTATAGATGTGTTACAAGTAGTGAGGAAATGTAGGATCAATTTAGGGATCAGCTGATCAAAGTTACTTAGTTTTGAACCACCTTTATGATACTGATATTGGTACAATGTCAAGGTTTAAAACAACTACTTTCTACCTACGAAGACCATACAATGAAACATAAATGAGTGTGTTGTTAGCTACCAAACAAACATTAGTACCATTGGCATGTCCTTCCTGTGTTCCTGTACATAAACATGTTCTTGTAGCTTATAAATGGGCCTGTTTTAGTTATAGAAAAAGTTCTGCTTGTAAGAGCAAGATATTGACCCAAAGGCTGTGATAGATTCAAATACCTCTGTTGCGACACAGTTAATCAAGCTCAAATGTTCTAATTAGAAATACACGTGGCAAAAACATGAACTTATTTGTGGATAAAAGGTCAAATCTCTGCTTGAATAAATGCTAAATTCATGTTTAGAACATTCTTTTCAAATTGATAAAGTACAAATGTCATTAAAAAAAACTAACTAATGAACATATGGTCAAATTCAAAATCACTGGATCCAGAACTTCCCAACTGTAACAAAACAAAACTGGGAGCGCTCCCTGACCCAGGACAGCACCCTCCCCCAGGGTCCTCACCACAGACACTTACCAGCAGTTAGTCGGGCAGACAGAGCTCATCTCTCCTCAGGTCAACATGAAGGTGAGTCACACACAGACAGAAGGGGGGAAGTGCGGGAGGGGCCATGCTGGAGACGTGGTGGATGTTAGTGGGTGTTAATGAAGGAGACAACAACTTGGCCTGTTGAGATTGTGACAGTGCCCCCCCAGACAGGTTATGAGGCTACACTAGATCTATGTCCATGTGCACACTGGTGCACTAAATAATCAAAAGGTACATTCGTAAACACCTGCAATTTTGGAATGATTTATGGTGGCAAATATGACTTTAACTTCACTGTTAAGATTTTATGCCTGCACCTGTACAAACTCCAGGACATTTTAAAAACATACTGCAATAAATCGTCCAACTCTGCCTTAAGGCAAGAACTTTTCTGAAATGCTGCATCTAAAGGTGGAGTGTCCTCCTGGTTTTAGACCATTTGTTCCCTGATCCTTCTTTAACAACTGTTATTTGTAGATCTGCTAAGCGTCAATGTCACTCATTGATAAAGTGGCGATAATGGCACACAGCTGTACACGTCCTCTTTAAACATGGTGTTGCAGATCAAGTAGTAGTTTAGAGCTTCAGACAGAAGTTCATATTAAGTGTACTTTCTCATTTCTGCATGCTTGGCCGACCCCTGCATTATGTGAACATGACTGTTGGACTGTTTGTTTTGAAAAGTTACAAAAGCCGACCCCCAAATCCCAATGTCAGAAGGTGGGTGAGGGGCTCAGATGCTCTTTGACAAAGTGAATCAAAACCCTATTTTAACCCAAAACCTAAATTAAAGTCAATTCTAACCTTAACTGTAAAGTCTTAACCTCACACAGTGTCCAGTGGCTGGACAAAACGTCCTCACTGTCTGGGTCTCACACGACTCCTGGCAAAGACAAACATACAGGAGTGCGTGCACACACACAAACACCCTAATATCTGTACCAGCAACAGAGCATCATCTCCAAGTCCAGCCCACACTTGTACCACCTTCCACTCCTCCGATGTTCATTTGTGTTGTGGGTGCAATAATTGTGTGCAGATTGGCTGTAGCACAAAGCCGGCCTAATTACTTTTATGGCTGTGCAACGTATTGAGAGCCTGGCGAAGGCACTGTGGGCATGAGTTGGCGGCCATAAAGCAATTAAGAGTGCAAAAGAGGACACTCATCTTTACACCAAATGAAGCCGGGGCGATCATCTCTCAGACTGATTGGCTGATACTAAGGAAAGGCTGGCAGACAGCTGAAAGGGAGGGCTGAGCACCCACACACCACTTACTCTTTATCTGAATTCAAAATTGCCTGTGGGTGAATTACAGTCCCAATATTTTTCACTTGAGTAAAAAAAAAAAAAAAAAAAATTGGTTTAGGAGTGCTGAATATTCCAGGGAACGCTGGCTCATCAGCCTGAATACGGTGGCTGTAGCGGGGAGGGGAAAATACTCCACGGGAACCCAGATACCAGCAGTATAAAAATGTTACAGTAAAATACAAAAGGCAATATTATGCCCTTTCGAAATCCCCAACATCAATTGAATGAACTCCCATTCTCATAGTGGTATAAATGAGTGCAATAAAGCTTGGTGCAGTGCTGCTGGGAGAGCGGACATCAGTCATCCTGATGGAATTAGAACATGTTACCCACAATCCTCCCCTCCTCCCCAAACTACGGTGAAATAAGACGGCTCCTATCACAAAGAAGAGTTATTATATTGACTTTAGGCATGTGGCTAAACAGAGATGCCTAAAAAAACAAAGTGTGCTGCAAATGGATTGTTGGACCAATCGATCATACTGGGTAAAAACTGTAGGATGGACTGCGAACATTTGACAGATTCAACTGTTTCACTGGAGGTGTGATAAGAAGAGGTCAGACTGAGGTCGACTGTCCGAGCCCGGCCGAAGGTGCATAAAAACACGGTTAGTGCTTCCATATGGCTGTTCACAGATATCGGGCTAATCACTGCAGCATGACACTATCAGGTTTCTGCAGTTGATCCCCAGTGTGCGAGAAAGATGAGGTCTCTGGATGGATTAGGCCCGCGGCGCTTGATTACTTCGAATATTAATTAATCAGAATCAGCTTTACTGGCCAGGTGTGTCGGACACATGAGGAATTTGACTCTGGTACATCGGCTCTCCTCTAATCTCTCCTCTTTTCAGAATAATCTATGAATTGTTTAGCCTAGAAAATACAGAAAAATATCCTTTACAATTTTCCAGAGCCCAAGGTGATGTCTTCACTTTGGGTTCTAGCCTGGGCTGGACAAAGCAGGCAGAACTATTCTAATTACAAAGATATAGAACAGAGAAAAGCAGCAAACCTTCTCTCATATGGAATCAGGTGATATCTGGCATGTTTGCTTAAAGAATACTGTACCTTTCAATCACCAATGAAGTCCACTGATTCCCTGTTGACTGAACTACATGATCATTTGACTGATTGTTTCAGCACTAAAACATTTTCATCTGTAAAACCTACATACTGCAGGATGAACGCATTAAAGTCTGACATTTCATTCAGTATACTGTAACCACTTTTCTGACATAAAAAACAAGCAAATGAATGAAGGCACCATCTCACGTGCAGCATGGACTGTAAGTGGGGCAGCTGTAGGTAAATTGAGAAAAAGGACACCGGCTCCTTGAGGTTCGCAGCACATCACTAAGATGAAGCAACAAAATGTAATATATGCGTAGGGGCGGTAAATGAATTTCAAAGACTCCTGGTTCCATATGGCCCACAAGTATGGCCTGGGCAAGAGTCTAATAACATGCAATTACTATAGCAAGACTGAGTGCCAGCTGCACTCTGGCAAAGTAAAAGGGCTTTAAAAAGACCATTAGAGGTTTCAAAAAGTTTTTTTTTTCTGTAACACAATGTATCTGAGAAATGAAGCTGCAATATTTCCTGGACACAGAATTGAATTCAGGGTCCGGGAAATATCTGACGAGCAGGGCTTTTTTTATTCAGCACCTACTAATCTGATAAAGAACCCTAAAGTGTTCACACCTCTCTTTGGAAGCAAAAGGAACCTCTCATTTTTGGAGTGTAGGTTACATAATGCTAAGTTTTCATAGGAAAATGACACTGGCGACAATAGCCAGTCCAGTGCTACTGATAAACAGCATAATGCTGCAGTATTGTCAAGCTCCTTAATTGAGAGCGTGCTCGGTTGTTTGGAGACAAAGGGAGAGGTGACCTGCGCTCTTCTTTCCCACACTGCCCTGCTTTTGCGGTACAATGGCACCGGGAATGTGTGCCAGTCCATGGAGCCCATTAAAATGCATGACTCTGCTGAATGCAAAATAAAACTATACATTTTTATTGAGTTCAACAGCTAGAAAGGAAAGGCCAGAGCACAGAGGGTTTGGTTCGTGAGCTCTCACTTTATCATTTCATTTCAGTATAAATCATAAGATCAAATTCTTCCACTGCACACCGATGACTGGGCAGAGGCGCTATTGTAGCGTAGACACCAACAGGAACATGATTTTATACAGAAATATACAAAACTGTGTGTGTAAAATGACCTTGCATAGAGAAACAGCCAACAAGGACAATTCATGTTACTTGATATAAAGCGTGTAATTTACAACACACGTGTGCGTCTGTTTTGGGGTAACACACATTTATAACACCCCAGCGCATATTAATACATACTGTGTCGGAATGTGCTTTTATAAAAATGTTTGTGATAGAATATGTGTGGAAAAAAAACAAAAACGTGTGTTGCCTCAAACTAGACAAAAGATGTGGCAGAGATCACTCAGTGTGCAAAACCATGATAGAACACAGAGGCGCGAGCAATCTGAAAAAAAAAAAAGGACTAAAATATTATCTTCAAGATTTAAAAATTTGCTACAGCTGATTGTTCATACCATCATAATTTGTTGCTCAGAATAATGTAAAACCAAGAACACTTGAAACTGTTTGCTGGGAAGACTAAAATAAATACTAAAAAGATGACAAGTGATTTCATCACCTCAAAAAACTGAAGATGTTCAGACTTTGTTCCCTTCTTTTTGCCCCTTGTTGCTTCAGAATGAACTAATTATTCCTCTTCTCATCCAGAGAAGATTTGAATTAAATAAGTCTGGGTTGAAATGCACGCTTACCTTCAAACTGTAAAAAGGCACAGTAAAAAAAAATAAATAAAAGGGTTTAAACTAAGACCCCTCTGCACAGACACAGTGTGAATACAAAACCAGGTCCATCGGGTGGTGGGCGGGTCCCCGCGGATGACTGACAGACAGAAACAGGGACGATGGATGAGCACAGTAGGTAGAGACAGGCGGGTGGGGTTAGTGACGGATGTGTCAGGAGGTGTGGAGACTCCTGCATGCACATGGTTGATCATTTGAGGATGAAGGATGTTAGCATTAGCACACTTAGACAGGAAGTGGCCATGGAGGTTAATGGTATTCCTAATGTGGAGAGTGGGTCATCAGTCTCATTCATGGCTGATAGTAATGGGGTTAGTGATGGTTAGCACCATTCTCCAGTTAGCCACAGGTACTGTCAGGTGCTAACAATGTTAGCATTCTCCTCAGGCTAGCATTTCAAGTTACACGTCCAGTCTTGGTCTGGTAGAGGTTGTTTCTTGATATAAACAGTCTTACAGACTGGCCATCCTCTCCGGCGGGCAGTCCATCTCAGTTACAGGCTCCAGTTATTTCAGACACTCACCCAGGGCTGCTCGAAGCTGTAGGTCCTCCTGCGGTCGTCTGGGTCATCCTGGACATTCTGGGCCTGCTGGAACTCCTGCCGCAGCCTCTGTATCCGGTCATGGTTGCTGGGGGCTAGCCGGTTACTGGGGAGAGAGGAGGGAGAGGAGAGACAAACAAGTGTGAGAGGTCCATTGTGAACAAGTGACCTGATTCCATTAGCGCAGGCGGAAATAGCCTGCAGGATGAAGTTCTTAAAAGTACAACGTGCTTCGTCCATGAATTGATGAAATGCACTGTTGACACTGGCAAAGCAACCCAGATACATTCAACCCAGACAAAAGGTACTCCGTGATAAGTGAGGCCAGAGCCAAGAGCAATATGATTCAAACCTATGTGCCCCTGATGTATTATTCAGAACAATGAACAAAGACTAGTGGTGAACAGTTCCACAGTGCCTCACCCTGCCCCAACCCCTCCCACCTCCTGGCCTCATATCACTCAACTACTGCACTACTATTGTCTGCTGCAGCCCTGTGGTGTCGACGTCAAACAATGCTGTGGAGTCTAAAATGTTTAACATTAAATAAAATAAAACAGAGCTCCACTTGGAACTTAGTCTCGACTCAGACTTAACAACCTGTCTATGGAACTAACCTGAATTTCAGAAAGAGGGTCTTGATGTTTTCCTTGTTGATGTTTAGTTTAGGTTAATTTTATTTGCATATTTCTTTTGCTGCTTAGAGAGGTTTCTGCTCAATTCTGAGCCCACAAACTGAGAGAAATACTTTAGAAAATGTAAAAAGAGAAGACAAGTTAGTGTTAAAATGACGTGGCCTCCAACAGAGGAAAGTAATTAACACGTTTTCCCTCTCAGACGGTGTGCGTGAATAGAAGTGCCAGGGTTGGAGAGTGAAGGACCAGCGGGGTGACGCCGACTCCGAGCTCGACTTTTCAACTTTACCAGGAAATTCCTGGGCACGGTCTTATCTCTAAAACTCAAAAGGTCAAACCTGCAATTCTTCCCAGTCCCCTGAGATGAGTGCTGCAAACATTTTTCTGCTCACAATAGAAAATGTTGGCATAAAATCTTGAAAATTAAAGTGCAGACACAAAAATGCACACATACAAAAGAATTTAATTGGGAAAATAATAAATCAATCAGCCATGACAGTAACCACACAACTTAGACTAGAATATGAGTTTATCTCTATGAGGTCAAAGTACGACTCTGTCTCAGCATAAAATTACTACAATAACGACCTAAATTCATTTCATCCATCACAGAACAGCCAGATAGTGGTTTGTAATGCCATATCCTGAAACACGGCAGCACCACTAAGTTAGCAAGCTATTAACTCCAGACGCACACAATGGGGAAGGCAGAGCCAGTCGGGCTTGTGAAAGAGCAGGAACCTGTCATATGTGATCCTGCTAATCTCCATGATATGTAACAGTCACTTGGCCTCTTCAGAACATTGGCGGTCCATGTATGACCCTCTGGCTACGGGCCAAGGCCTCAGTGCTATCTTAAGCAGAAAAGCTCATATGTGATAGTGGGTGTGAAGAAATGTGTAACAGGGGAAATGTAAAGATAATAAAAGATGAAGATTGTAGCTTAGTTTGCCGTGAACCAAACATATGCACAGTCATTCAGTCTGAGTTTAAGTCCAGTGTTTGAGGAAAGATGTTCCTTTTCCTGTAGCAGCTGCCAACACTGTGATCAAAAGTACATCATCATTAAGGTAACCTATAGATCGGGCCTATATACTACAATCCTGCCCAAGAGACTCACGAAAAAAAAAAAAAACTTAAATAAAGGGATCAAATATCTCCAATCCTCTAGTCTGACAAAACACTGTAAATCAATCAAGGAGAGAGCAACTCTGCAATAGAACTGTCCTGCCAAAACCCCCTCCAGAGACAGGGAAGAACAGTGGGCTGAGATTTAGTCTGAGATGAGCTTCATCCTCTGGACAGGCTCACTCAATATCTGGCACTGCTGTAAAGGGCTGAAAGGTCACTGTGTGGCTTTGTTGAGTGGAGCGTCTCTGGGACTCAAAAACAGGACTGTGGCTTGCTGACTGGGCTGCCAGCAAAGCTATTTACGCTGAGATGCATCCTGCCTTTCACGGCCGGGCGTGCCTCCTGAAAAGCTGTCTTTCTCGGCCTTAAGCCGGGGAAGGAGGTAGCTTTGGGAAGATGTAATGTCTGCATTGTGGGCGGACGTTGACTTCAGACTTGCGCTGCTACACTGTGCTCTAATGCATCATGGTGGAATAGAGGCACTGCGAAAATAACACGGAAAGGAAAATTCTAATTATTACAACCTGGGTGCTCGTTTTCAGCCTTGGCAAAGAATCGAAAGCAGAATTCAGTTTGTAAACCGTGACGACTGGTTAAAACAATTACCTTTTGCTTTGCTTCCAAATAAAGCTTGGTTTAAGGGTCTGTGTTGAATCTACGCCGTTGTGCTCATTTATACTTGTGTGCGTGTCACCCTGAAATGACCGCCAAAATGCTAGCTGGCAGCAGGGTGTCTATGCTACTGTGTTGTGTTTCTTCACCACTTACAAATAATTGCAACCGAGAATGAGCAGGTCATGTTGGAGTTAAAACTAATAGGGGTTGAAGAGCAGTTACTTTTACTGAAATTACTGCAACACAGGTAAGAGAGAAGACGTCGGAGGAGATGGTCTGTAGGACCACTGAACCAACTGAGGCAGGATGAGCGGAGACTTTTCATACTTGCCTGACCACTGAGAGATATGAATGAAAAAATGTGGTGCAACCAATCACGGTTGCTGCCGTCTGTGTAGTTACATTTCTGGAGAGGTGCACATCAGGCTACGGTGTAGGGTACAAGGCTATGTGTACCTAGAGATACTACAGATAGATGTTGGAACGATGATCAAAACTACAAATTGAAGACCTAAACCACTTTAACACATTTTATAAGTATGCACTGTATCCACAAAACCACAATATGTTCAAAAGCCGCATGGTTAAATACAGAGACTTCAAATTGGACCCAACTACAGACTAATAGGATTTATCAAATTTGTGTTATTTCAAAATCCCCCATGACATTGACGCTGCTTCCAATCAAAACATACCGACAGACAGAGGGAAGGCCTCAACGGGCCAATGCACAGTAAGTGACAGAGGCAGCTGATGGACAGAATTCTAATCCTGTAGATTAGAACTGAATGGACTTATTCACCCAGGCTGCTCTTCCCATGCCTATTGAAGGATACTTTAGACCTAGCACCAAACTGTGCATGGGCATAAATTTAACAGCATTTAGTGGATCTGTGTGAAATTAATGCTAAGCTGACAGCATCCACATGGACTTGGGCAGCAAAAAAGCAACAGCTGGAGACGACCCGACTCGCCACCAGCTGGCCCACAAACACCATCTGAGCATGTACAGCGTGGTGAAGTGCGGACGCCTACATGGAGAGATTCTTATGTATGTTTTGTGACGAGGGCCCTCATGGTGAATGGTTACAAGTGTGGCGACCGTGAAGATACAAGAGCAGCATTGTTGGTTCACACTTTAGAGTTTCAGATGAAAGCAGCACCTCGCAGCACTGTGCAAAGGACTATTAACAAAGCCAGCCAAGATGTTTCAGCGTTTCTCCAGTCTTATGGGAATCTATTTCTTCTCTAAATGAAAGGACTTATTCTGTCATAATGCAAATGAACTGTTGCTGATGATATGAAATCATACTTTTGCTCTTAATAATACAGGGATTGTATTCTGCATTATCATACCTATTTTACCTGCCAATAATCCTTAATTAATAATAATCAACTTTTTAATTAAAAGTCACCATCTTAATTAAACCTTTAATTAAGCAGGGGTAGTCATGGGATACCCATCTAGAATGTGACTGTTGTACTGACTAGCTTGCCAGCCTGTTAAATAAACATTTACTGATGTACTGATATGCACAGTAAGAAAACAGCGCATGTCGTGAGCGCAGCAGTTGTGGCAGTTGGTTTCTGTGATCATATCAGCCAGAGGAACTAGGCCCAACATCCTCTGACAAAGAGACAGCAGCTGGTGGAGCCTTCCTCTGCTGTGAAAAATGAACTGAGATGCTGGAGATGATAATCCAGGTCTATTGATCGAAGGCTCACCGACAGCTAGGAGGAAGACTGATGCCCTTGCTAACTGTTGCTAGCGGCTAAGGCTCCATCTGTGAGCTGCTGTATGGCAGAGTCCCTGTTATCTGCTGCAGGAAAGACTGGCCTGCTTCCTCAAGCAATCACACACCTCAGATATGGATTAGATGTTGCTACTCATTAGCAACAAATGAAAACAACAAAGACCTTTAGTGGGGGGGAGCATAGACAGAGTTTGTTTAGTTATTTCTGCAAGTCTGAAAAAGTCCATTTTATTTTTTTAATGCACTTTATGTGAAAATGTCTCTGCTGATTCGTTTTGGTTGGATGCTTATATAAGATCTGACTTGTTTTCAGCAGCCTTGTCATTGGCTGATTTTATCTGTAGAGCTGCTTTGTGTGTTATGTTCTTTTCTGACAAGTGTTTCACCAGTGCAACTGTATACTTTATAACTGCTGCTTCTTTACTATCCCGAGCTCTGACAACGCTCATGATTTCCAGTTAGTTAATGCATACAGAACATGGGTGAGTTGGTGTTGCTGAATAAGAGCAAGCATGTTCCTTTGACCTTCCCTGGATACATAGAGGTTAAAAAAAGGGATTAGCTCAGGATCTTAATTACTCTTAGCCTCAGTGGTGTCTGCTGATGCATGCAGGAGATTAGAGGGACCAAGGGGCCACTGTGTCTGAGGGCGTTTAGGCTCTTATCAACCCGATCTTGCTTTTACTCTGGATTACATGGGCTTAACCCTGAGACACTGACTCAAACTGATCTGTATAAACGTGGCAATCCAGTGCCAATCAATACAATATCACCATACATAGCAGCTCATCATCAAATCCCTGGCATTTGCCTCACTGTGTTAATGAACTAAGTAAGACTGGAACTGCATGTTGATAAACTACACAGTTAGTATGCAAAGGAAGAAAAACAGAATCTCTCATTCTATGATGCAGCTTGTGTTGACAGGGAAGTTAAGAGGCTGATGAATCTAGCCAACACGTCCTGTAACC